AAGGTCTACTTTGAATAAAATAAGAATACTTTATTAAAATAAAAATATAATAAATATCAAACAAGTTCAAGGATAGATAGTATTAATTAACGAGAGATCGTGAAATACGAAGTATCTAAAGAATTTTATTCGCAGACAAATTAATACATTACGTGTTAGATGATGGGTTGTCGCTTGAAATGAACTTTTTTTTATATATTTATTGTTCTTATTATAAAAGTGACAAATCTCCTTTATTTTTATCAGATTTAAACTTTAAATCACCGGAAAATGGCAAAACAGACATGCTAATATACATATTTTCGTTAAATTTATTCATCCCACGAGTGGCAAATATTTTCGCAAGAACCTTTGAACAAAAGGTTTCAAGAGACATTGATCTCAAACGTTTTTTGAATTAAAAGATAAATTCAATTTTTACAGTTACAACATTGAAGAAAAAAAAGAAAAAAAAGAAAAATACTGTCATGATCTTTCGAAAATATTTTAATCACTGGTGGTATTTTTTTATTTCTTCAGAAAATATATAATTTAACGTTATATTCAAGATAATATTTGTATATACATACATATACACGAATATGTATGTCGTTTAATGTGAAAAATAAATTAAATTTAATATGATCCACAAGTATTGTTCACGTAAAGTAAACAAATGAGTAATCGATGCAGTGGTAAGCAAATAAACAATGATTTTATAATCAAACTGGTATTTATTCAATTTATTCAAGTTTTATCAATAAAAAGTAAGTAACAATAGAGGGAATCTTATAAAACTGAAATTTGCTTTCCTCACTTAAGTGATTTGCCGATTACATAGTTAAATTTGTACATGCTGAAACGAAATAAGCGCTTGATGGAACCAGAATTCGTCAATATTTCGTTTCAAAATATTGGTAGTTAAGAAAATTTTATTTTCTAGAATTCCAGTTTCACCAATTTGAAACAGTATCAACGCTTGCTTAATGACATAAAATTCTACTTAATATACAGAAAAAACGTTTGGTTTGCCGCTTTTAAACGGGAAATACAACTTTTTTTATGATTAGACGAAAATTCATCACACATTTGTTTTTTTTTTTTTTTGTTTTTTTTTTTCATACAATAAAAAAGTTTCTCGTTTATGCATCACGACTTGAAAATAACTTAACGGTAATCGCGCCGACCAACGTCTTAATTATATTTTTCTTTATTGACTCTCGTCAAGTCAGCGGTTTTTTTTTTTATTATACAATGTAACTCCCGTCCAGGGTATCACTACATTTTCACGTACGTATGTACCACATCTTATACTCGCTTAGATATAATTAGGTAAACTTACAATCCGAGTTAATAGGGACAGCTATGTATATATTTATATATTTATGTATAGAAAGAGTCTTTTTCGCTTCGCGTGTCCTCACACCGGGAGGAGCAATAGAGTAAGAGGTTGAACAACGGCTGCTCACGTGACGGCAGCTGTCACGTTCATGTTCTCGAAATAAACCCTGAGCATCTCGGCGATCTCCTCGAGGGTAAGCGAGTCGCAGGTCGCACTGATCTTCTCCGCGAGGGTGCCAATATCATTTCGGTAAGTAACCATGTCTTCCTCCGTGACTACGAGCACGAGCTGTTCTGTACTTTCGTTATCTAATTTATATTTACAAACGCCCGAGGACACGTACGACGCTTCGCTCTCAACCGTAGGACTCGACGGCACCGTGGCTACTGTGCTCCTCGTTGGGGTTGACGGTGTCGAGTTATTTGCGGTTTGTGGCGGCAGCGACGCTGGAGTCGTCGACCTCGACGTGGCTTGTTCTGATAACAACGCCTCCGGTGGCCTTTCCGTGGCCTCTTCCTCATCTTCGGGCATCACTTCTCCCGAATACTTGGGTATATTGCGCTGTTCGCAACTGTTCTCGTAATTTGGCGAAAGGTTGAGCATCGAGAGCAAGTCGTCCTCCGAGTCCTCCCTGCCTATCACAACCTCGATCATGTTGCCGGCATCAGGTAGTTGGTCCTCGCTGAGTACAACCTCCTCAAGGAAGCACCGCTCTGCAGTGCCCGCAGTGGCATCCTCCTGGCATCCAATACTATTTTGCTCGCCTACATTTTCCGGAGTGTTAAGCTGCTGTTGGCGCTCGGCCTCCTGGCGCTCCTGCTCTTCGAGCTTGAGTACGAGCATCTGGTAGAGCACGTGCGACGGCTGGCCAGGATCTAGCCTGAGAGTGTTGACAATGGCAGTGACGAGTCGCTGGATGCACCAAAAGTAACTTGCCATGGAGGTGTGGGCGCTGACTTTGTGACCGCTGGCTAGTTCCCCAGTTCGGAAGTTCTCGTCGCATAGTAGACAGTTTACGTCATGGTTCCACACGTAGTGATGGCGACAGGCCTCGCGCGTAGCAAAGAGCTCCGGACAAATGGGACAGCGCATTATCGCGTTGTTACATTTTCCTTCAAAGTCGTGGTACATCATGAGCGATTGTAACCTCTGCCGGCCGAGTACTTGTACAAGCTCTTCCACGTCCTCCTGCATGTTGCTCGGCTCAGCGCAATGCGGCGTATCACCCATGTCTTCGGTCTTTCGATTTCCTTTACTCGGTACTATATGATAGTCAAGCATATGCCGTACTTCGCTTGTGTCTATTAACAACCCGTTACAAAACTGGCAGATGGAAGCGCGTCGGCCGTGCTCACGCTTCAGATGGTTCTTCAAGCTGACGTTGGACGTGTAGACCTCCTCACAAAACGTGCAGCTCAAAAACTGTAGTTCTGGCTCCTTGGACTCACCGCTGCAGCTGTCGGATGAGTCGCGTCGGCTGGACGTATTGGTTGTATTTGTAAACGAACCACTAGCTTCGACGTCGTTGGTGATATCACCAACTCGCATAACGACGCTAGACTCTTCACCAACGATCTCCTGTCTTTCGTTAACTTGGGTAAACAAATTATGAAATACTGCGTGGTTTTCAAGCTGACTTTCCGTGCCGAAGTTTTTGTCACAGATTTGGCACGTATACACCTCTTCGTCTTTTGAATGCACGTTGTTTTTGTGTTCCTTCAATTCAGACTGCGAAACAAAGCTCTCAGAGCACTTTCTACAGTTAAACGGTTTCGAGTCTGTGGTGTCAGCTGTGGTAGTTTTGGGGGTAGTACAGCGAGGATGTAGATGATTTAATGATGAACGGCCTCGGATTTTCTTTGTCTTGACCTGTTCCATGAGATCCAAAGATCGTCGACGCGTTGACGGACCACCATTTTTGCAAGTCTCGCAGAATTTAACACTTTCAGACTCGTCAGAATCTGAAGACACTGTTACAAAATAAAGTTAAAATTAGTATTTCATATGATTGAAGTACAAATTAGAGTTAAATTAATTGTAATAGTGATATTAAAATGACTTTCATAAATCAATAAAAAAAAAAAAAAAAAATTAAAAAAATATTTTCAATGTAAAAATTAGTTTCTCACCTAAGCGATTTAGCTGGTTAATGATGTTATTACACCTTCCACAACGTTCGGGCAATGCCTTTCTAATCTCAGCTGATTGCACTTCTAAACTGACCGCTACTGGAGAGGTGCTTCTTGTTACGATCGACGATTCTGGCTTGATGATTTCAACGTTTTTGACCTTAGGTGGTCTTCCACGTCTCTTTAGCGATTGACCAGTGATGGGTTCGTGATGACTCAGCACTTCTGCAAAATCTGGATCGTTAAATGGACTTTCCTTCGAGTGTTTCCACGCTTCGATTAGTTCTGCAGTCTTTTCCATTATTTCCTCGTTGCTCTCTACCGGAAGTATGTGCGCATTTATAACATGTTTCAGCAGATGTTTGCGATAACAAAAACGCTTATCGCATTTGATGCAGGGCTTCTTGCGCGAGGAAGTCTTTTTAAGTAGTTTCTGATTGGGATGGAGCTTTGACTTTTTGACCTCGTTACTTTTCAAAAGCGCGTAAATCGCCTCGAATGCACTATTTTTGCGCCTCATACCATTTTGGGGCGATCCCTGCTTCGTCGTTTTACTATACTCGTCCTTAGACGGCGATTCTCCTCGGTATTTTTTGCCAATGTTCTTAGCAGCGTCAGTCGTATTGCCGATTGTTGGCAGGATGGCGATGTTGAAAAGCTCGTCAAGACCCTGGAACGTCGTCTCGGAGCATTGGTGGTTTTCCCGCAGTTGGAGGGTGCGGAAGCTCGTGAGGCAAGTGTAGCAGGGGAACTTGCACGAGACCTCGTGCATCTTCATCAAGTGATCGACAACTTCGTCCTTCATCATGAAAGTGCTGTTACACAGAGTACAAATGTAGACTTCGTAGGCAGCTGGCTCGATCTTTTCGAGGCGACGCATGGCGCTCGGGCATCGTCTGATCATCTCCTCGCGTTGCGACGGACTAGCTGTACTACGGATGCCGATCCGACAAACGCAGTCACTAGGACAAGCTGACTGAAGCAGCACCGGTTTGCCACTGTTTCTGCGCGCGAGCGCCGGGTAAGCAGCCGTTGCCACCGCAGCACTCGAGGACACCGTGGCCGTGGCTGCGGGGGTATTGACTGAAGGCTTAATGAAACGCACGAGTGTCTTGTGCTTGAGCGCGACGTGATCATTGAGCGGCTTCACACCCTTGAAGATGTCATAGCAGCTGCGGCATTTTAGAGCAAATGTGATATAGACCTCGGACTCGTTGGTGATCTCGTGCAGAGGTATGCGCAGACTGCTCCCGTGTCTGCACTGCTTCTCGTTCTCACACTTGAGATGCTCCTGTTTAAGATGATACTCGAGGTAAAACAGAGACTGAAAGTCGTTGGAGCAGTAGGGACATTTGATGGCACTTTTGTCTTCTTCGGTCATGCCGTGACTCGCCTCTAGGCGTCCGATCATGTCCTGCACCTGAGAGCACGTAGAGCAAGTAAACGAACGTGAAAGCTCCTCATTGCCAATGCTACTGCTAGGAGTGGACGGGGTAGCATGATGACTTGAGATCTTTGTCGGCGTGGTAGGCATGTAGATGAGCGGCTTGTTAGCTATCTCAGAGTCCGGGACAGGCTGAAAGTTGACGATCGTTGCAGTAGGCGCGACATCTTTCGACATTGTTGGATCCGTGTTGTAAAGAGCATCGGGGATAAATAGGATACAGAACTGCTGTTGCGGAGCGAGCAACTGCACTTGCTGCTGTGGCTGACCATTTTGCTGGAAATGAATGGGCTGCAGAGGCGGTGGAGACTGAAGCGATTGTACCGGATGCTGGACACCCGTTGCGATAGCTTGGGACTTGAGGATCGGCTTGGCTGAAGTGACGATGGTGTTGCTTCTCATTAAAGATTGAGGCAACACCACCCTCTCGATAACCTTGTTCACAGTTCTCGGTGTTATGATCGTTTCGGATTCTGAAACAGGTTCAAAATTATCGTCCAGCAGCGAATCATCGGTATCGCCGCAAACCTCGGCAATGCTTTTTAATATCTTGTTAGCCGTTTCTTCTGAAACTGCTGGTGTTTGCTGACTCGAATCATCAGCTCCAGCGTTGTCAACAACAGTAGATTCAGCGTTTAATCTCTCACCTATTGTTGAAGACGCAATGTTTTGCGCTCTCGACGGACTACCACTTGCCAGGCACTTCTCCACTGCGATACTCCAGTCGACGCTATTGCTTTCCTCGAGCTTGTTTCTTGCCAAGAACGCTTTGGACAGATCTAATCGTTGACTAAGACCCTCCAGCTGATCAAAGATGGTCTTCGATCTTGGTCCAACCTTCTTTGGCCTCGTGATTAGACTGGTGGCCTTGTACAATGACGTATCCTCGGTATCAGCGCGCTCGGATTCACTGGCATTGGCATCGGAGTCTGTGCTAACTGTAGGAACTGTGTCTATTTTTGTCAATTTAACGACTAGCTCTTTTGTTATATCATACTTGACCAAGACTTCCGGCTCACAGAGACTCGACGACATGGACGTGGACGTTGTCTCGTCGATGGTCTCCTCACACACCCTTGGCCTTTTTACGTCCTGCACAACCTGTTCATCGGAAATTTTCGCAGTCGCATCGCTATCCTCCTGCTGTATAACACTACTTTGACTACTTTGCGACAACGTCCGCTTTCGCTTTATTCTGATTTTTGCTTCGTTCGTCGTTGACTGGACCAATGGGACATCAGTCTTGTCTTGGTTGTCATGTCCCGAGACGGATTCGAGTTTGTCACCCTCCTCACGGAAGCTCTGATTGATTTCGACGATTTTCTGCAAATTATCGAACAAGACGTCGGGCTGAACGACTATCGACTCAGAGTCGAAAGAAGTAAATACTTTGCCATTATTTACAGTTGGAACAGGAGAGGATGCCGCAGCCGCGAGTTGCTTAGCAATAAGCTCGGATTCGGTGAATATGGGGTACTTTCGTGGCCTGCCTCGTCTCTTTGGTGGCACAACCGCAACCTGACCAAAGTCAGACTTGGCCGGTGAGTAAGCTGGATACCGGCAGCTACCACTTCCACCGCTGAGATCTGACTTGGCTGGCGAGCAGCTTGGCAGCCTGCAGCTACTGTTGCCACTGTCGGAGGGCGTGCGCGGAGTTATCTTGATTTCCTTGACGACGTGCGAGTTCCTCGAGTCACCCTGCTTCTTGACAATGATTTTGATTTCGCCATCGGTGATGTGACCGTTCATGTCTCTGTGTTGTCTTTCGTGGCTCTCTCCGTTAAAGTGAATGGGAGAATCGTCGCCAACGTCCTCATCATCATCGTCGTCGTCCTCATCGTCATCTTCATCGTCATCATCGTCATCCTCGTCATCGTCATCATCCTCGTCGTTGGTCGAATCTTTCTGGGCAGGACTGGCCATTGGCTCTACCATGTGTGTCACACGTTCGTTCGACATTGTCTTTGTAATCTTAATAATGAGACGCTGACGATGTTGTACTCGCGTGTGCTTTTTCAAATCGCGATGAGTTATAAAGGTCTCGTCACAATACTTGCACTGGAGCTCGGCACTGAGACCAATGAACGAGGAGCCTGATGGGCAGCGCAGCACGATCTTGTCGACGACGCGCTGCTGCTGGTCATCGCTAGGACTTTGCACACCCGAATCCAGATTGTCCATGGGTGGGATCTCGAGGCCGTTGAGCCGCGCCAGCCGAGCTGCCAGATTCTCATCGCTCTCCACGAGACTGTCCTCATCGTCATTGTCGTCGTTGGCCTCTTCCAGAGAAGTGATATTGGCCTCGTCAGTGGCAATGTGCATACTCTCGGACCGTTTTTTGTTTTGAATATTCTTGGTGCACTTCCGTTTGAGCACCTGAAGCATCTTTCGCCTGTGCTTGTTCGGTTCGGCTTCATCGGCCAGGTTGTTGTTGGAAACGATTGCCAGCTTGGGCTCGACGTTTAAACTTACCGGGACGGCAACGCTTGGGATGTCCTCGGGTTCTTGGGCTCTGGACGAGGTTCGCGTGCGGGGTGTCCTTTTGGAAGAAGATAGTTCGAGATTATTAATGGTATCTTTAGCTAAACTTTCGACGAGACATGCATCGCTCACGAAAGTTTTGACGGAAACAATATCATTAACAATATTAGTATCAGTTAGTGATTGGGTATTTGCGACTGACTCTTTGGAAATATTATTTATTACGCTTTCGTTGGCTACTACGGAGCCATCGTGATTTTGTTTGATCGTCGAATCAACTGTGGTTACTTTCGCACGGGCATTTTCCTGAGATTCTGCTGTCTTTTCATTGTTCTTCAGAGAGTGACGAGCGATGCGCTTACTTCGTAAAAAGGATTTAAGAGATTCTCTTTTAGGTTCAGGGGAGAATTCAGGAATTTGCGGCATTAACGGCTGAAAAGCTGTAGTATTATCGATAACTATGGGTTCGGTTACGTCTTCCACACCTGGTTTTATGATAACATAGGCTTTAATTTCGTTCTCGAGGTTTTCAAGATTATCGACGACTGTATCTAAAACTGCTTTGGTCCCGTTATCAACTGGCTTAGAATTAGGTATAGGTTCTGGTTTATTTCTTTTTTCCTGAAAAACAGATTGAGCTATTCTCGTTGAACGCCGATCAGAGTTAATTTCAACATTTTTATCTTTCGAATTCTTTTTCTCGGTAATTTTTCTTTCTGATACGTTTTCAAGAGGTCTCATACCTAATCTTTGTCCATCGTTTTCTAAGGTATCTAGTGTTGTCATTTCCTTTGATTTTTCATCATCGTAATCCAATCGCCGAACAATTGAACAATTAATGTGAGTCTCGCTTTCTGGGAAAGGGACGATTTTTTCTGGCGAAAATTCTTCGATCGAACCTAGGGAAGTTGATAAAGTGTCTTCGATTGAATCATCAACTTGCGTCTCTTCGGAATCATCCACAGAAGTATTCCACAGTTGTTTTATGCTGTCTGTGTTATTTTCTTCAAGCAAAGTCGGAACGCAATGTACACTGGTATCAATCAAGTTTTTAGATACCTTGTCTCTTCTCAAAGGCACGTTTCTGGTCATCCTTGTGTTATCCAGCAGACTTTCAGAATTTTCTTTGTTATCCAATCTTTCAGAAATCATAGCATCAACTTCGTTAGATTCCAAACTTGGATTTATGTTTTCAATGATTTTTTCGTTTTTATCGGACGACTTTTTTGTAAATCTTTTGAGAGCGTGATTCTGAAGTTTCACACAATCTTTCAATAATTGATGCGATTCTTCAGCAAGTACCTCGTTTTTCTTATCAACCGAATGACGAGTTTGATACGAATGACCTTCACCCTCGTTTCGCCATCTTTTGGTATAAGTCTTTTTCTCAGTCGGCGCTTTGGTATTTTGTTCGTTTGTTTTAGGCTCTGACATGGACTTGTCTTCCTTCTCTTCAGTGCCATTCTGCAAACATTCTGTACTTATAGAGAGCCTTTCATGCTTGTCTGAAGATGATTTTCTTGTTACTTTTTTGTTATTTTCAGCCTGACTCTTGGAACACTCCTTAACTTCTGTAGATACTTCATGCTGCTTCTCGTTAATTTTGATAAGTGGTGCCTGAGCAACATCCAGCTTCTTTTTCGCGAAGATACCGTTGGGCCGCTCAGGGAGCAATTTTCTTTTCTCGTTTTGAGTTTTGGGACACTTATCGATTGGATCTACTGATCCTTTGGCAACTTGTTCTTCACCTTCAGATTTGCTTCTTGTTCTGTGTTTAGTAACAGATGATAATTCATTAGGAGTTTCAATGGCTGCTGTCGATTTCATGGATACTTTATCTTCAACAAAAATCGGAAAAATCTGTGAAGTTGTTCTCTTGAACATTTTGATCTCAGTCTGAATTTTTTTAACAGTCTTTTGGGGTTTATCCGGAAGCACGTCATTAATCTCCTTTGTAGATGTTTCATTGCAGTCACCTTTCACCGAATCATTAGCATCCTGGTTTATGTTCAATTCTGTTATAATTGGAGTTTTGTCTTTACCTGATGGTTTATCTGATTCTTTGGGTATTCTTAATTTTGTAGATAAGGAAATATCAGATTTTTCAGGGGACTGAAATGAAACTTTTTTAATCCTGTGTCCATTGAAACTTCCTAATTTATCTTTGACGATTTTTAGTTTGGAAGGTTCTTCCTGATTACAATTTTCAACAGAACTACTTCTTGTTGCAATAATAGATTGTTTTTCATTTTTGTCCGACGTTGATTTCCTTCGCACCCTATTAATCATTTCTACTTTTTCTTGGAAACCTACTCTAATACTTGAATCTGATTTTTCAGGAACATTATTGGTTTTACTTTCTCCTTCATTTTCAGATAGGTTTCTTCTTTTCCTCTTAATAGTGACAATTTGGTTTTTATTAAGATTTTCATCACTCTTGCTTAAATCTTTAGTAAATTTTTCACCAGATTTTTCTTCGATTTTAACAAAATTTTCTGCACTTATAGGAACACTTTTTGTAAAATTATTAGAATGAGTTTCACTGCGCAATGCTTTACTTCTAAGATTGTGATGAAAATTTTCAACCTTATTCTCCGAATTTTTTCCATTTTCAAAAATTTCGTTGCAACTTTCTCCTTCGGATAAATTGAAGTTATTACTTATCAAAGAATCAGCTTTTTCTGTATTTAACTTGGTAACGTTGTTTCTAAGCGCCCTTTTACACTCTAATACGGCATATGAAACTTGCTGATTTTTTCCGGTAATACTGTTAGTGTGAAGAACTTCAGTTGCTTTATCGTCAGTTTTCGTACATAAGTTTTCATTCAACTCTAAAGAAGGCAGAGCTTTTACAACTTTTTCTTCCAAAGTTAAGGATTTATTTAGGCTTTGTTCAACCGGAAGTTGTAGAGATTTAATGGAAAACTTTTCAATTTTTTCATTACACCTTTTAGAATCATCCAAACAACTCGTATGTACAATTTGAGATTGATTTGTATAACGATGTAAATTAGAAGATATACTGTTTGGTTCACTCTGAACTTCAATAATTTTAGAATTCTTATAACTTTTATTTCTTGTACACCTTTTAATCGTTTTATTCTTAATTTTCATGTGCACTTTCATATTTTTATCAACTATATCAGAATTTGTTTTAATATCAACAAAATTTTCTAAATTATTTACATGACTATCAATATGTTTTTGAACTTTGACATCTGTTTTCCTTTTGGCTTTTACTTTACCTTTCTTGAAATTCACGACTTTACTAACTGATTTATGCGAACCCTTACAACTTATTTCTTTTACAAAGTTTTTAGCAGATTGCACATCTTTTTCGGACACAGCTTCATCATCAGCCTTTTGAGTAGTAGTCGTAAGACTTTCGACTCTATTTTGAAGATTATCAAGAGATTTATCGTACACTGAACTAATGACCAAATTTTCCGTAGGATTTGTGCTATTATCATCAACATTTTTAGAAACAATTTTGTTTTCATGCTTTTCTTTATCACCTGAAATATCAGAGCACAGTTGATTATTAACATCATCGATATTATTTTTGAAGTCTTTCAAAGGTTTCTTACCGCTGTTTTCCACAACACCATCGACACACGTTGGCTTGCTCTCAACTGAAGATAAAGAATTTTTGTCACTGGTTTGTTCAACAGCATCGAACTTGAGTTTTTTGTTACAAAGTAAAATAACCTTTTCCGACTGATTAACCAAATCTTCTTCAAACATCGGTAATGTCGAGAGAGCTGGCGTGATGGATTTAGGATCATTCTCGGGAAGTTCAGGGTAAACCTTGTCCACATTGAGAATCTGTGAAGATACTGATTTATCACTGCAACTCACTGTGGACTCTTTAGTGTAATTGTTTGAAACGTCTGATGTCAATTCGTTAAAATTTCCAGTCACGCACTTAACAACTGAGTCACTTTGAACCACTAAACCGTCACTTTGTTCAGTATCACTTTCAGCACTTAGCTCATCCCTCTGATGCCTTGGCGACGTTTTGCAAAATTCTTCGATAAGATTTTCTGTTTCCTTTTTGTCGACTCGTATTATAACGTCGTGCAAAGCGTTTGTATTCGAATTGCAAAACAAAGGGGAAGGATCTAGTTTTTCTAGCTCTTGTTCTCGTGGGAGCAACTCTTCACTATTTTTTTCCTTGCTATCATGTGAGTTTTCAACTTGCTGATTTTTCACGTTATCTTCTTTCTGTGTTTCTTTCGATCCTTTTTCTACTTTGGTAGACTCTTTAACCTCCGTTTCTTTGATTACTTCTTTAATCACTTGTAACGTGGTATCATTTTCATGTTCCTTGCTGGCCTTTTCTACTGCTTCCTTATTTTCTTTTTTTTTATCCATCGGCGCTTTGCTTTCGTCATCCACAACATTAGATGTACTTTCCGTCTTGGATCCAGCATTTACTTTATCTTTTATGTCTTTTTTCGCTTTACTACCATTATTTTCATTATTGCACTTTAAGGCTGCTTTTTTCTCTTCATTCACATTTAAAGTTACTTTGTTATTTAGTTCATTACTGATTACCTCCGATCTTAATTTTTTCGTATTTTCAGCTATAATGAATTTAGCTTCATGTGTATTACTTTTCTTTTGATGCACACTTGGTTCTTTTATTACTTTACTGACACCTAATATTGCCTGCTCCTTTTGTTCTGTATTAGTCTGCAACGAAAGTTCTTTAGATTCAACAATAACCACAGCTTTAACATTTTTATTTTTTCTCATTTTTATTCTAGTTTTGCGACTCATATCGTCCACTTCTGATGTTGTTTCTTTTTTCCGTATTTTATTATTATCTGACTGTAACTCTTTCTTTTCTACAATAATACCAGCTTTCTTTTCATTTTTATTTTTTTCTGATTTTGTTTCTTTAATTTTTTGACTTGCATTTGGTGTAAGTTCCTTTTTTTGCTCCACACCATTTTTCGACCTTAATTCTTTTTTGTCAAAAATCATATCAACTTTAGCTTCATTTTTGTTTTTTTCCACTCTTGGACCATTCTGTTCCTCGACATCTACCAAAGCAACTTCTTTTTTTTGTTCTTTAGGATTTTCTAATATTAACTCTTCATTTTCAACTACTATTTCAGCTTTTGCATTATTTCGATTTTGATGGTTTTCTAATATCGTTTTTTTGTTTTCTTGGTGTAGATCTGATGTTAATTTTTTCTTATGTTCATCATTAATTTCTAATCTCGTTTCCTTTTCTTCCATAGTTGCGCCAATTTTGAGTAGATTCTTGTTTCTAATCCTTTCAGATCTGGTTTCTTTCTTTTCTTGACTTATGCTTACATCTGTTGCTTCTTTTTTCTGTTCATTAAGAGATGATGATCTTAATTCTCTTTTTTCAATAATTGTGTCAGATTTTGTTTCGGTTATATTATGTTCGCTCTTTTCGGTTCCTGTGACTTCCAATGCGATTTCATTATTGATCTCTTTAATATTAACTGATATTGAATCCCTCTTTTCAACACTTGCCACAACTTTCACTTCACTTTTACTTTTACTTCGTTCTAATCTTGTTTCTCTCTTTTTTAGGGTTGCATGTAACCTTATTTCTTTCTGCATATCATTATTCTCTAAACTTAATTCTTTCTTTTCAATAATCGCATCTACTTTGACTTCCGATTCATTGTCATTCTTTTCTGATTGTAGTTTTTCATTTTCTTTGCTTAAGGCAGATGTTACATCTTTCTTGCGTTCTTTCTTGCCCTCCAATCTTAGTTGTCTTTTCTCAACAACTACCTCAGCTTTTGCATCATACTTGTTTTTACTGCTTTCTGATTGGATTACTTTCTTGTCTTGTCTAACATTTGACGTTTCTTCTACTATTTGTATCTCTTTGTTATTCTCTGTTCTTAAATCTTTTTTTCCTACAGTGGCAATAGCTTTGGTTTCGTAATTGTTTTTACTTGCCATTTTTGTTCCTTTTCCTCGGAGGCTTAAATCTGATGTTATCATTTTTATCTGCTGGACACTATTCTCCACTTTTGCTTCCTTTTCTGTCACCATAACCTCCACTTCTGCATCGTTTTTACTTTTACTTTTTTCTGATCTTGCATCTCTTTTTTCCAAGTTTACATCCGATGTTACTTCGTTTTTATTATTATTTGCATGCTCTGATCTCAATTCTCTTTTCCCAAAAATTATGTCAACTTTGGCTTCACATTTGACTTTGCTTTTTTCAATTTTTGTTTTCTTCTTTTCGTTACTTAAATCAGATATTATTTTAATCTCTTCATCGCTATTCTCAGCTTTTGATTCTTCCTTTACTGCTACCTCTGTTTTTGCATTATTTTTGTTTTTAATTCTTTCTGATCTTGTATCCCTTTTTTCATAACTTATCTCTACGCATGTTGCTTCTTTTTTCTGATCATTCACATGCTCTGATCTCAGCTCCCTCCTTTCGACAACTGCATGAGTTTTGGCTTCAATTTTACCTTTATTTTTTTCTGATCTTAGCTCTTTTGTTTCTTGCATCACATGTGGCGTTACTTCTTTATTAAGTCCACAACTATTGTTTGGCCTTAACTCCATTTTATCTGCAACTACCTCAACTTTTGCATCAATTTTATTTTTGGTTCTTTCGGCTCTTGTTTCTTTTATTTTAAGACATGAATTTAACATTGCAATTGTCTTATGTTCTTTTTTGTTCTCTAATCTTACTTCTTTCTTTTCAGTAACAACATCAGTTCTGGCTTCGGATTTATTTCTGCTCTTTTCTGATCGTGTTTCTTTCTTTTCTTGTCTCACGCGTGATGTTCTTCCTTTTTGATTTTCTAAACTATCCTTCATGTGTAAATCCAAGTTTTCCACATTGGTCTCAGCATTTGCGTTATTTTTATTTTTACACCGATCTGATCTTGTTTCTTTTCTTCCTTGGATGATAGTCGATGTGCATTCAAGATTGTTCTTCGACTTTAATTCTTCGTTTTCAACAATCACATCAGCTTTGGTTTCAGCTTTATTTTTATTCTTTTCTAGTCTTACTTCTGCTGATAGTTCTTTCTTGCATTTTTTAATGTTTTCTACTCTAGAATCTTTCTTCTCTAGAATCGCCTCAGATTTTGCATCATTTTTATTTTTACTTTTTTCGGATCTCACTTCTCGCTTTTCCAAATTTTGATTTGATCTTACAATTTCTTCTTTCCGCTCTTGACTGCTTTCCGATACTATAATTTCATTTTTAAGAATCGCTTCATTTTTATTTTTACTCTTCTCCAATCTTGTCTCCTTCTTATCTTGCCTTACATCCAACGCCACTTCCTTTTTGTATTCTCTACCATCCTCAAACCCAGAACTTTTCTTTTCCACGGTTGCGTCAGCTTTTGCGGTATTAAAATTTTTGCCTCTCTCTGATGTTGCATTTTTATTTTCTTGACCGACACTCGACGTAACTTCTAGTTTTACTTCCGTGCTATTTCTTCTATCTCCCGACCTTGATTCTTTGTTTTCAACGATCGCATCAGCTTTGGCTTTGTTTTTGTTTCTTTCTAATCTTGGTTCTTTCTTTTCTTGACTAACACTTGATGTTACGTCCCTCCGATGCTCTTTATTGTTTTCCAGTCTAGTTTCTTTCTCTTTCTCAATTGACTCGACTTTGGCTTCGCTTTTATTTTTATTCCTTCCCAATCTTATATCTTTTTTTTCTCTATTTACTTCCGACCTGACTTCATTCTTTCCTTCTTTTTTCTTCTCAGATCTCAGTTCTTTTTGATCTAACTTTTCACTTTCTATATCAATGCAAGCTTCTGCCACAGTTTCGTTTATACATTTTTTAGACTCTTTCACTACCTGTTCTGTTTTCTTTATCGTCTTCTGCACCCTTTTCTCTGCAAGCTTTGGACGAGAACAACCATTCCCGATCCTTTCGAGTATCACCATAGGAATCCTGTTGTCCTTGAGTTTGAGCTTAATCAGCTCACTATCCGACATCTCCTTGACACAAATCTCCAATATTCGATCCTTTAGGATCTGTATGTCCAAACTTTTTCGCCGCTTTTTCCGATTTATCTTCCCTGGATGAGCATTGTCTACTAGTGCACTGCTGTTTTTGTTCGTGCCGATTGCTACTGGGCGCGACACGAGGGCGTCCTTTGGAGTCATTGTGGTGGTTTGACTATCAGACGAGCCATTCCTAGACGACTCGGTTAGTAGAGGATGCTTGTGAGGTCGGCTCTTTGGCCGCCTATTACAATTAATCAGGCCACCGTTAACACTCATCGTACTCTGCGTCGAAGTGATCGCGTGCTATCTGCGGCTGCACCTTTTAAGTGCATACCGTTTTTGGCTCTGCAAATTTGATGAAATTGAGCTGTAATCATAAAATAAATTTTTTTTGTATATTACACCTTCTTTTGTGAAAAGTTTGATCTATATATGTCATTGTTCTTAAAATTTTTTACAACTCTAATAAATTCAAGTGATTGCTCTTGGCATAAATTTTCAAGAAATACATGTGAATATTAACACGTTGATAACTAAATACTAAGGATTTATAAGAGCAAAAAATAAGTGTAGAATACCCGTACTGGATCCTTTATGATCTGACCAGTAGATTATGTTCATTGTTGCATGTGATCTTTTGGGCCAATGACAATTTGATTGTAGACATCTGTGGGCAAAAAATATACACTATAAGTTACTCAGGCAATATATCAATACAAATTTGAATATCATCACAAACAGCATGTAAAATACGAAGTAAACTAATTATAATACATAGAGTAATAAGAAATACAGTTAATATTATATATGTATTTTTTAATACTGTTTTTCCATTTATATTTTACATGTGTCATTGCAATTTCAACATTAAAGTAAAATTAATATCAACTTTATTTTATAAGAAGAATTTTGAAAGTATATGACTATAACCATCCACTATTTTTTTTTTATTTATTATTCTTTTTTTCTTTTAATAAAAAAATAAAAAACTTGTCAGTCTGGTGATCAAGGTACTTACAAAAACGAAAATTATCTTATGAGTGAAATAACACATGATGAATAATTTAGTAATGGTAACGAACGATGCCAAGTGAACGAACCAATTGAATGTTTACATTATTTCAAGAAACTGTTAGCCTGATTTAGTGTATCAAATAAAAAAATAATGAGCTGTTACTATAATAATATAATTATTGCATTATACCTGCACTTTGAAAATTGTTGGTTTTGAGATTTTGTGGTTTTCATTCTGTCGGATAGTTAACCTAATGAAGTAATTAAGAAAAAGTACTTTTTATTGTCTTGTATTGAAAGTTGTTAAAAAAAACATTAAAACACAAAATGTATATTCATTGAACTATAACCTAAAATATAATTTAACTTTACCTTCCTAATGTGATATGCAGTACATTGTTAGTAATGTGCATATCGTCATATGCACTTTTGCTCTTTTGCTAAGCATTGGGATGTCCTGCTATCATTGTTTTAATTAATTTAGACATTTTAGCTCTCGATTGCATTTAGAACCTTCGTGAGTCAGCCAAAAGTGAATACTCTGAAAATATTGTTTCTTAAGTTAGCTTAAAATAATTATCCTCATTCGTTCATTCACTTGGTTCTTATGTATTACTCAAGTCATTCGTCTAAGTTTAATAAACTAAAAAATTTTTTTTTCTTAATTAAGGATGAAGAATACAGGTAGGCTGGTGTATGGGTGTGTAATGTGAGATAGTTGTCAACTTGGATATTTGTAAAAAAAAAAAAAATACAAGAAAATCAATAACCACTTCACTAGATACTTTGAGTTCCAACAAATAGAGCAAAAAATGTTGAGCAAAATTTGATTTTTTACATTTTTTATTTTATGAAAGGCAAGCATGCTACATAACTCTTTTTAACAACCATATTTACCTCTATTTTTCATATCGTTTAGTTATTATTATATGCTTAAGACTAAAAGTCAAAGTCTCACGTATCTGTAAACTAACTCCATCTTTAAATGTAAACTTTATCAGATAAAGTCGTCGTACTTTGACAATAAGAAACAAGTAAATCAGCAGAACATTATCTTTACATTTAGGTGTATACGGACGACATTAGCAAAGAGAGCTCCATTCTATCGTTGAGGGACGTATACTAATTGTGCTCTGACTCTAAAAATGTAACACACTTATATATATATATTATCTTTTTTCTCTCTCTCTCTTTTTACCTCTTGTCACTATAAGTATACCACGGACTCACCACCAAAACTCGTGGTGTACTTTTTAAAAAAGGAAAAGCGAGGAGTCTAGAAGTATAAGCAATACCGACTTGCTACGGTTGTATAGTTCAGGTGGAACTACTACCATACTTGTAAAAACGACTTCAAAGGATGCTCTATTTGTTTTAGCGAGAAAATCGTAGATCGCGACACATCAGCCCAATAATGTTGTAGGCAGAAAAAATTGGAGTGGGTGTATTATACGTAAAAAAAAAAGAGCCAATGCGACTCCGAAATATTTGTCCAACTTTCTACAGGTGTATGTAGTAGTAGTAAACAAACACACACACACACACACACATATATATATATATATACACGTAATAAGAAGAAAGGAGGGGTGGCCACACACATATATACGTTTGGGTATACTTGTGAGTATAAGTTCATGTATAAATACTACAATAACGATGTCTCGTGCTTAAAACTCACCCCTAGTACAAGGGAGGAGGTAAGTATAGGTCGGAAGTAAACAACAGAAGCGAAAAAGCGTCAAAATGGTGGAAGAGAGAAAAGGAAGGAGAAACGAGTCAGCTGATAAAATATATACGAACGATACGTATACCTGTAATATCAATGTACGAGGAAAACAGCAGGAGATGTGATGGAACTGTGATGTTAATCTTGAGATTTGGATACACAAAAAATAAACAATTTTTCATATACTTAACGCACTCGGGGGGAGTCAAGTCGTCGATTGAACGAAAAAGGGGAAGAAAATAGGTAAGTATGCGGTGTTATAGGTTGATGCAGCGAGTGCACATGCAAGAGACCAATGGAGAGAAGAAGCAGGTATATAGGAAGTGAATATATACAGAAATTGCAGCAGCCATGGCTTTCTCTCGCGCAAAAAAATGTAATTGTGTAAGCGCACAACACCAGCAGAATTTATGCATTCGACACCTTTGCTTTATCACAAAACGCTCGACCAAAAATTAGTGGTAATTGTACAAACCCTCAGAGCACCGGGGGTGGCTTTTGAATTTTATAAATAAGATACGAACAATACGGAGAGTTTGACTTTGACATTCGCAAGTAAACATTTACTTAGTGTATGTAGTGTGTGGCACAACGTTGGGGGAAACACATCAGTCGGGTCGGGACATACTCTCGAGACTGTAGGGAGACTAGGGAAAGAGAGAGAGAGAGAGAGAGAGAGAGAGAGGAACAAGAAGACGCAGTGTGGCGGTGATGAAGAGATAATATGTACGCGCATATAATAGGCAACACACGAGGATACGCGTATTCGGAAGAGTCGGCATTTCCTCGCGATAGGTATATAACTTACTCCGTTTTGCTCGTCTACATCTCGTCCCCTGCATAATAGCTAGGTTTGTTTCGACTACTACCATTGCCGAGTATTGAAGAGTACAAGCACAGAATGAATGATTTGATTAGGCACATTTTTGCTTCGAAACTTGCAAGGGGAGAAAGAGAGAGTGTTACGCAATTGTATAGGAACGCACTTGCTATATTGATGAAAGCCCGTTCATCCTTCATTGTGACAAAACAATTGAAGTATGTTTACATTAGCGGAATACGTGCGTATACCTAAAGCTCCATTTTTTTTCGGTAGATGTTATTCAATGCGAAATATGTGGACGCCATCGAAGAATTGTTGTTTAATGATCGGTTTGTATATCTACGGTAAAAAGATGCTCCGATTTGGAGGAAAAGAAGCATCGGGGAGTAAAAAACAGGCCCATTTCATCGTTACCGAACTCCAAAATCAAACTTTAAAAAACTTAACCTCAAAAATTTGTATAGCGGGTCTCTCTCATCCCCCCGCCCCTCGCTGTGTGTGTGTACACACACAAACGCACTGTAATTACTACATTACCAGAGGACACGAAAGTTTGCTCACCTTAATTAATCCACGACATGAGATGATCGACCCTCTGCTCTGAATAATAATTTATATATCCGATTAATCAGAGTGTATCAGAGAGGAGAGCGCTAGACACGCGAGCACACACCCACATAACACGCGCGCACAACACAACTGTACGATTTTATTGTTTATCTCTCCAGTTGTCGTTCATTTACATGTCATCGCGTTATTCATAGCGCTCGTTAGATGTTTATATTTTTTTAGGTACACACTATGCACGTAACTACTAGGTATATATTTATATGGATGACAATTATTATTCGTGCTACCGTTCGGCTGAGAGAAATGCACGCACTATACCTATGTATGGATATTCACAGTAATTTCGTACTAGAGATGACCGGAGGCACCGTTACATTTTTTGCAATGCACTGCTGCATGTAACGTAACTTGATTATACTCTCTCTCGCGAGTTTTGTTTACGTGTCAACGGAAAACTTAAATAACGAGACCAAGTCCACTGCTTATTATCACACTTGAACCTATATATATATAGTGATGGAGATGGAGCACGCCGTGTGTAACGTAACGTGCATGTGCTACCGCTGCACCGGCTAAGTAAAACTTGTCCACTGCGAGGGTAGATAAGCTACCATGATCATAATATATATATAT